ATGGAGGCGAGCAAGACGAAGCTTGGCGCAGACCATCCTGACACGCTGACCAGCATGAACAATCTTGCCTTCACGTGGAAAGGTCAGAACCGTAACGTGGAAGCTAAAGCTCTAATGCAACAATGTGCGCAGCTGTGCCTTCGTAGACTAGGTGCTGCACACCCTGATACAATTTCTTCAATAGGAACGCTAGCTGATTGGGAGATGTAGCAAACTAAAGTCTAGTAATACAAGAGGACAATGTCTGTGGCATCCTGATACTTTCAAGGACAGCGACAAATTTTCAGCTCAACTTCTGATGGAACAATTGCAAGACATCGCCCCGGTCATGAGAATTTACCATCGGTTGTGTTAGGGATGAGAAGTATCAGCAAACCCGCATAGATTTCGCCGAAGACCGATTACTTCAATTTGGAGCTTCGTATCTCTCACAACATTGATATCGCCAACCTGTTCTCTGAAAATGTCATCCGGATCGGACCAGGCGAATCAGCCCATCACTGTTGAAAACATTACCCTTCGCACCCCTCCGGACACTGACCTTGAAGTGCGAGGTGATAAGTTCTGAGCGGCCTTGTGTTCGTAACTTTCTAGAATATAATTACTGTAGTAAGTAAAACGCATGACATAAGGAATTAATGCTACGTGCGTCAACCTGTCAGCACTTCTCTCACTCATTGTCTATCTACTGTGAGCCTCATTGTTTAACGTGCCTACCGGCTGGGGAGAAAAACTTGCAAGGCAAATGCTGTCTTGACTTTGTTTAGATAGAGCTTCATCATCTACACAGTATGACAACTTCACCCTTCTAAATGGGGCGAGCGAGAAGCCATATCTGGAATTTCTCTGGTTCGCGAAAGTGAATATTCAAGATTGCGTCTTCCGCGTACTTTTTTGACGTTTCGTTTGGGGACAGACTTAACGGTATCTTCGTGCTTACAGTCTCTTAGCGGTTCGGCTTCCTGGTTTGCGGAGCACTTGACTATAACTCGCTCAGACCCCTGCTATGTAAGATCGGCTAGCTCCGGACTTTAGAAGAAGTGTTTGACCTTACTCAGGTATTCGCGCATGGAATGCCCCCTATTCCCAAACTAAACCTAATACGGAAACCGGGGGTCTCCTCCCTTGGACCAACCACCTCGCAGCTTATTACCCTGCCAGTACGCGCTTTTCATAAACGAAAGCTTCGACCAAGTTCTCGTGAGAGCACGACCTTGCTATGTTCTTTCCAAGATAGTCGCCCACTTCTGTCCAAGATCGCCATGACCACCCAACTTGGGTTGAGGGACCTCCTTGAGCAGCTCAATCTCCATGTCAACGAGCCAGAGCCTGTAATCATCTGTCGCGCGTGCCAATTCGGTCTCCACGGCACTGTCAAGTCCATCACCGACCATGTGGTGGAGAAACACAATCATTCCCCTCATGTAACAAAGCAGCTTCGAGAACTCCTCAAGCCATACACGATCCCCAGTCCAACGCAGCTTGCACTGCGGCCGGACCAGTCACCACCACACCCCCATCTTGCTATCCATCTTGGAAATGCGTGTAAACATTGTGGATACAGGACCACGAGCACCGAGCTCATGGGTCGCCATCTGTCCAGCAAGCACAATGTGAAGCGCAAGGCGTCGACCTCACCGAGATGTCGTGAAAATAGAGGCCGTTCAATCCCCAGATTAAGTTAGCGTAAAACCACGCTAGACGCATTGACGTAACAAACCGTACGCGTCAACCCGTACGTGTTAACTCTTGAAATAAAGCTAGAATAGATATAATTTGTATGAGAAAGTTGCTTATATTGTCAACAACAATAATAAATTCTAGTCTTCTTTCTCATTTATTCTGTTGCGCTACTACTGGGGTTACTATCAGGGTAAGGGTTATGGAGCTCTGTTGGGACGCACGGCCGGCGGCTGACAGCGCGACTGGAACGCGAAGCACGTCAAAGAGAAAAAAAATACGCAGCAGTAGCAGTAGTCTTACCGTCGATACTGCGGATAACTGCTTTCACTATCTCCATAAATATGGGGTGCTTGTGTGTCTTGAACACACGACAGGAGTACAGAAACTCGACGCCCATCTGCGCGATTATCATGCCGTACCCGCGACTACGAGGCGGGCAATCGTCGAGAAGTATAGCTGTTTGTTTATCAAGACACCAGGAGATGTGAATTTGCCGTTGTCAATGGGTTTACCAATTAAAGAGCTTGGGAAGCCGCTTCGTGCGCTTCAATGTGGCGAGGCTGATTGCGAATATATAACAGTCAACAAAAGCGTTCTAAAGAGCCATCGAAACAAGAGTCACGGGCTGTCATGGAATAGTAATAGCGAAGATCTCTACAAAGAGGTTTGGGTTCAGACTTTCTTCCGAACAGGAGGGCTGCAGCGCTACTTTGTTGTCAAGGCGCCGGACGGGACAGCGGCTGGCCGATTGTCTGCATCTGACAGCAAGACCAAAGTAGAGGCGTTGCTTGGGGAATGGAAAGAGATGGAAAAAAGGCACGAGGAGGAGATGCAGATGATGGACGCAGCAGCTGCAAAGACTGATAAAACAGGCTGGTTCACTCGCACGGGTTGGCTGCAACATCTGGCGAAGCGTAACTTGGTGCATCTTGCACATGCAATCAAGCTACCGACACGTAGTGAGCCGAAACTCAAACAAACAGCGCGGCTAGTTGAATTGCTGGTCGAGCAGAGTGTTGCTGGGCTGTCGACGCTTGCCCGCGAGACGCGGCGTTGGTTGCGGAGCGCTAAGCGGGAGGAGATCGATCAACGACCGATAGCACGGCTACAGAATCCCGAAAGTCAGGCCCGATACGCTGGATATTTGGTCATGTTTGTGTGCTATTTTCTGCGGATCGTTGCTGACGAGGAGGGGCGGGGAGGTAGTCGAGATGACAGCGAACATGAGAGCACTGAGGAGAACACCGAGGATGACGATACAGACGAGAACGATGAGAGCAGTACAGAAGGTAGCGAGAATGGCATTGGACGAAGCCGACATAGACGCGAACTGGATCTGCTCAAGGATGCGCGTGAGCTGTTCCCGTGGCAGGGCCGGCAGAAGGAGCTGGCGAAAGAGCTTTGGGCCGCACTGGGCGGAGAGGGTGAAGAGTGCCAATTACGTGCATTACGGTTAGTTCTGGCTTCTTTCATCTTCAAAAGCACTTACAGTCCACGACAAAGGGATATTGAGTCAAAACCACTTCAAATGTGCACCGTGCGGCTAAGATACATGCGCAAATAATCCCAGCCTTGACTCCATTTGTCGTCCAATCAGCGACTTGAGCGCTCAGTCTTACCCCTTACTTCGCTAGTTTACCTCTTTTTCTACCTCATCGACCCTTCAGCGCATTTAGACATGTAGTGTTACGACGCCGGAACCTATGAGGACAAAGGAGCTATCAAGTACTTGGGACGGAAGTCGGAGATCAAGGCCAGAGGGCTTGACGACACCCAAGGACGGGTCACGTGATCCAACGTCACGGGGACAGAGTGATCAAGGTGATCAAGCCTTGGCAGAAGTTGATAAGGCCAAGACCTTGAGCAGCTTGATCATGATCAAGGTGATCAAGCCTTGGCGAAATCGTGAAAAGCCAAGATCTTGAGCAGCTTGATCAAAGGACTAGGAAGGACGGATATATAAGATTGCCAGATTTCATATGTAGGAGTTCTTCGTAGTCAATAACAAATTGTATCTGATCTTTTGGAATCACCTTACCAGTACAACAGTAGCTTATCCCCCCTGGATAAGTCAGAGTTATTACCCTGTCTTGATACTCGCTTTACCCTATACAAACCTCTGCGATATACCCCTCTTACCTTGTGTAGTAAGTTACCTATCGTTACATGTAGACGCGTAGGGGACGCGTTCCGTCGCGTCCTTTCCATCATGTTCGTTCGGTTCTACACTTACTTAACCCCCCCTAACACTTACCCCTCCCCTTAGGAATCCATCCTAATCTTTACATCATCCCACTCTTCTCTCTCAAGATACTTCGTTCTTCTTTCTCGTAATGGATATATTTGCGTTCTATCCTCAATACCAAGTGCTAGTGTGCAAACGCTGCGCATATGCTGTTGCTCCTAAGCACCTAGCTAGTCATATCAAGACAAAACACCCCCATGAAGCTTGCCATGATGCTGGCCTGCATCCTGCTCACCATCGGGTTGGGCGGCTAGCTCTTATGCTTGCCAAACGTCTCCAAACGCGACACGACCTCCTCGATCCAGCCGTTAGCAAGATCCCAGTACCATTGCCAACAGAGCGGCCCCTCTCTGACCTAAAGCTTTACCGTGGGATCCAGTGCAGTCGCTGTGAATATCTTCTCACTAAGACAAAGCATACCATAGTCCTTATGGGTAAACATTTTAACCAGCACCGACTTCTTCCACGGAAGCCCGGTAGACAGAGTAAAATAGCAGACATACCAGAGGCGGATAAGGGTCCTATGTTTACAGACGTCTACTGCCAGCGCTTCTTTACTTCAGGCCCACAAAGCTCCTTCTTTGCAGTCCATGTCCCTACTGTAGTTCAGGAGCTAAAAGGACAACCTCAGTTACGAAAGGCTGACCTTCTCCGGGCTATTATTAACGAGCAACTTGATGCTAGTAACGGCAAACAACAAGTCACCGCGCAAACATATACCAGCCAGACTACTAAGACAGAAGTCTCGCCTTGGCTCGAGCTAACAAGGTGGCCGCGGTTCTTTGATGGATTGGATATGACCGAGGTGGCTCCTCTTGCCTACCTGCCTAATCCTCGCACGGAGCCGGGCCTAGCTGCGCTCGGAGAGAGCTTCGATCGTATCATCGAGCAGGCCTACCTTTCTATTTGCGAGGATCGAATTAGTGTGTTCGACCAAGCCAAGATCAACAGTTTCATCAGCGATCGAAGTAGTAAGCAGGAACGCCTGATTATGGTGAAACTGCAGAAGGGAACATTTCGTGTGTACAAGGGTCTTTGGAAGCGTCTTCTATGCTTCACCTACCGTACTAGTCTGCCTAGCCAGAAAATACCGCTTCTCCACCGATTCACAAGCAACCAGCTGTGTGCGTTGGACAAGGCCATGACGCTTGCCGAAGAGCTGCTCGCCCTAAAGGGCGCAGGCAAGGATGACTGGCTGTACAAAGAGGAGGAACGTAAGAGGGTAGCTGATCTGGATAAGGCATGCCTGTTGCTATGTGTCTCGCTGCTCGACCATACGCTACGAGGGGATCACTTCGAAAGCGTAGTCCTTAGCTTCCTCGCAGTATTGGGCATTGACGAACAGCCTGGAGGTGTCTTTCGCGGTCCTTTAAGCTACTCCCCGGACCTTTCTAAGTTTATCAAGATGGCGCAGATGGTGGTCGTGCAAAGGGCTGTTGTTGGCGCAGAGGAGGGCGAAGCAGAGCACCCATCGGATCTTTTAGACGAGATGAGAGAGCGCTTTATGGTGCGAGGGACGCGAACTGCATTTGACTGGGCCTACCGTCTTCGCTCCTATGCAAAGAAGATGGTTAATAATACCACCTCCCTTGGCTATATATCATGGTCGGAGGATGCACAGACCGTTATTTACCGAGACACAACTCTGAGCATGACCTCTCTTCGAGATTTCGCTGCCGACCAGGTACAGAGAGCCCAGATAGAATTAGAGGAACTCCTCCTCCTACATCCAGACGAGTGTCGCGAGGACATTGTCCCCTCCGTGTCGCTCCACCGCCTGAAGGACAACCATGCCAACAGCCAGAAGCACTGGAATTTCCTCAAAGACCCCCGAAACGCGGATCAGCTTAAGGTTGGCGACAACTGGCTCCTTAATAGAGTGCTCGAGAATGACTGGCTAAAGGACGACATGATGAGCTTTACTCCAGAGCACGAGGTTCGCTGGAAGAAGGACGTAGTTCAGGAGTACTTCTCCCGGGTAGATCAATTTCTTAAGCGGCTGCTTCTCCTCATCCATATCACTTCGGGCCAGCCTGCCCGTGGCACTGAGCTCTTGGGCTTGCAACCTAGCAATACGGCGCAAGGACATCACCGAAGCATCTTCATGGAGGATGGCTTGGTAAGCACGGTGACATCTTACCATAAGGGGTACAACATTACTGGTTCTACTAAGATCATCCACCGATATCTACCAAAGGAGGTTAGCGAATTGCTTGTATATTATCTCTGGCTCGTCCTCCCGTTCTGGCAGCAGCTTGATGTGCTAGTGTATAAGCGAGAAGAGCCGCCTTCCTCATTTCTATGGCCGAAGGGAAATGAGAGTTGGAAGTCAAGTATGCTAACTAAAATACTCACCCAAGAAGGAGAGAGGCACTTCAAAACCCGCCTGAATATCGTAATCTACCGTCACATCGCGATCGCGATCTCACGCCAGCACCTTCCTTGTGGTGGATTCAAGCGAGACTACGGCATTGACAAGAAACTAGCGGACGAACAGGCAACCCACGGTACTTGGACCGCAGGGACAGTATACGCAAGAGGCATGCAAGAAGCACCAGGCCATGTTAAGATGCGGAGCATGGAGTACAGAGCGGTGAGCCGGGAGTGGCATAGCTTTCTTGGGTTTCGAGTGTATCATGGAGCCCGAAAGCAACCACTTACTAAACATATAAATTAGCGTAATAATTTTAGGTAGTTAGAGGCGTAGGTAGCATAAGTAATGCGTGAGCCGCAGTAGGATATCATTCATAGTAACGTATTTGACAAGCGAGCTGCGAACACGACCAACTTTCCAAACACCTTGATTCCAAACAGCAATTACACCACCTTCTACTTCTGGTGCTCCGTATCGTAATGCTGATATTCACCTGGCTATATTAGCTATCGATTCCAATCAAATCTCCAATGTTTTAACAGCTGCAGGTATCTACAATGTCCCTAAGGCCACGCTACGTAGCCGACACGCTGCGTAGCAGACGCGCTAGCACCTACTCACGACGAGGTTGTGAGCCCAACTCGAAGAAGCTTACGAAGCTAGAGGAGGAGATGATAGCTGGATATATACTTGAGTTACATTCACAAGGTCTCTCACCAACCTACACTGCAGTGCAAGATATGGCTAATCTACTATTAATATTCGGTTACCGGATATTAACCTGATATCCAACCCTACTATAAAACCTGATATCCTCCTTATTAAATATAGTAACCCTAAAAAGAACATGATATCCTGGTAGACATACCTAATATCCTACTGTAGAACCTGATATCCTGGTAGAAAAACATGATATCCTATTATTAGGGATTCCTTATTTCAACA